GTTTGTCCCTATAATAAAGTGCCTCTTTGTTTATAATAAAGATACTTTAAGCTCATATCTGCGTGTCCTATCTATCAAACACTCACTCTAGACGATTACACATGGTAGGTTGGAAAGGTCAACAGCAAACAGGCATATGAAAATATATCAATATGATTCTGTCTCCAGCCTGTGAACAAAAGCACATTTGACATCCATAATTGTGAGCAAATTTCATGGTTTGTTACCTAAATAACATCCTGCCAGATGCAGGAGACGGCCTCTAATCTTTGGCAAAGGTAAGAACGGATGTGAAAACGTTAAACTGTGCGATGCTGCGCCCGTCCAAAGCACCTGGGAGGACTAAAGCCTGAAAACAGAAGCTTAATCCTATCATCGGGATATGAGTAAAGGTATGTATGTACACTCTAATCTGGGCTCTGGGTTTTCCAGCAACGGATCTGCCAGCTGGATATAAAAGCTTTTTTCTGTTAAGAGTCAGGAAAAAAAAAAAAAACACACCTTATTTACCCTCATAAACACAGATAATCTGCACTGTAGGTTAAAGGGGTTTAGTGCATCTAAGTCTTTTTGGTGGTAATTTTAAACCTCACTTTGGTTGCACGCTATTACTTCTATCTACCTTTGAAAATGAAACCCTCTGTAAATTATGAGACGTTGGACTCCAGTGATGGTTTTTGTAGAAATGGTACCCTGTGCAAGATCCAATGTCATGAACGCAAAGTGTTCCTTCTTGCATGTTTCCAATGTCTGTGTTAAGATTTTTATAAGCCCCTGGTTTCTTTTTTAAAACTTTTATCAGTGAAATTTATTCCAAATGTTCAAGACCCTGAACTAGATGGTCAAATGAGGCCCAGATGCAACGGCGCTCAGAGGGGGTGGTCTTAAGACTCCATACTGAACTATGGATCTACAGTACAGGATTTTTGAAAACAAAACAATGAAAAAAACAAATTTAAAAACACACCTGTTCCAACATCACCCAACATAAAGACAAGTAAGCCTAAAATGATATATTTGGGCACATGACTGTGCAGCTGTTGCAGAAACAGACTGAGAGCCCAGGACGGTAAAGCTGCCTCCTTCATTATCCGATCAGGACCACAGGGTGCACAATTCAGGGGATCCATGGAGCCAAACAGAGAGCAGAGCCTGGTGAGTGTGTGCTGAAAACCTAGAAGAAGCAGCATAACATAGCAGTAAAACCTGAAATTGATGTTGCAGCTAAGCAATTATATTTCCCCTGAAAGAAATTAAATGGGGGTTTAAGCATCACCAGCCTCATCCGAAGGAACACAGAGCAAAGGAACTTTTATCTGAGCTACAGCTAAATTAAAAACTGGCTGTGAAGAAAACATTTGAAACCCTTTCTTGGAGTTTCTAGCTGGATTTGTATTAAGATGTGAAAATATCTGCTGCCTTTAGATTAGCTTAACACATTCAAATGAACTTTAAATCACCCAGTTATTTATCATTCTGCAGCTGGTCCATTTCTTTATGTTGACAAACATATTCCTGGCTTGAAAAATTAGTAACAGAAAAGGTGGGATCTGGATTCAACAAGTCATCTCTGTGTCGTGGAGCCTAGGCGGAAGTTCAACTGAAGAAACAGATTGCTCGCCTACATCCACCTGCGACACAACCAATCAGCTTTGAACCACAGCTCTACGAAAGCCAATTGGCATCAAAAGTTCATCTTATAAGGCCTCCGATCCGCACTGCCTGCTACTAGTGCGCAGGCGGTGGTTGCACTGTGTGACTTCATTCAGATGACACCAATTCAACCCATCTCCACCATCGCAGCTAAAGCTTCAACAGAGTTTCATTCCTCATCTCATCTAAACCGGTCCGGTAGAAGACCGCGATGTTGAGCCTGGTTCTGCCAGAGGTTTCCTCCCAACGGGAAGTTTTTCCTCTCCACTCTCGCCTCATGCTTGCTCACCATGGACAGGTTCTCTCAACCTGTGTTATCCAAACTGGACTTCCATCTTCCAGGTCCCTGAGTGAAGCTCTGGCGTCAGATCATGCAGTCCGCTGGATCTCCCCATAAAGCTCAGCATAGCATATCGCTAACCAGCAGTCTACAGACTGACCAACTTCATCTATCTCCACTCCACCACCAGTTTCAGGCCTGGTGGGATAGAGCCCTACTCTTTGTTCCTGTTAATGCATATCTATCAAAATTAAGTGCTATGTTTCCTGCCGAGGTCTGAGCGCCAAAGACAAAGTAATTGTATCAATGAATTTCTCCTAATTGTCTTTTTTGCTCGTGTGAGTTTTTCAGATTCTACGCAGCGATTTAACTAAGGTGAGTCAAACCTATGCAGGTTAATCCACGCTGCAGATTGGACTGGAGATGAATTGTTGTCTCCAGTTCCCCTATCTCTGATTTGTAATGTATAAAACATTCAGTGGTGCCGTCAAACATAGTAAATGCACAAGCAGACTGGTCTCCTGCACGTTTTTTGTGTGAATTTTAAATACAGAATTTTGTGTTGGGTCATAAGAAATAACCTTAGCAACTAATCATTAATGTGTCAATCATAAATTATATTATGTTTCTGAAATAAAAAAAAAAAAGCATTTAAAAAAGATACAATTTTATTAATTACGACACAAAAATAAGGATCATGCGTGCAAACATTTTTTGGACGTTTGTATTAAATTTAGGACCCTCCTTCCCCCAGACACACCATCTACCTGACCCTGGCATCAGTCTGACAAACGTTTCCCATCCTCAGCTGTTGAGATGTTAAAGAGGTTCTTGATAATTCAGCCTGTTTTAAGTCAATTAACATCATTTCAGTGAGTTTCAGGTCTGAACTCTAACTGAGCCCTGGACTTGCCATCTCTGGTTGGTGGGTTCACAGGAATATTTTGGATCATGGTCATGTCAGAGAGTACTTCTACTTTAGTTTTGATTTTTGTTTCAGATTGTCTCACATTTTTTTTAAAGCTTCTTCTGATATGCAATTGAGTTCTGCAAGGATGAGCTGGTCATGCTGCAGTGAAGCTTACCCAAACCATCATGCTTTCACCTCCGTGCCTCACTGTTCATTTCCTTTCTTCTCCCAGAAGTCCAGGTTATGGCTATTCCACCCTTACACCAAACTTTAATCCAACCGTTATATTTCTTTAGAAAATAAAATTTCCTTATTGGACAGATGAAAGTTAAACTCTATCATCTTTCTAAAATAAGCCTTACTTTTTCTTACTATTTCTCAGATCCTATCAGGGGGAATTACTTGATTAGCCAGACCTAGGCACAATGGAGGTTGTTTTGAATATTTTCCTCTTGTAAAATATTCAAATAACTGATTTTATATTTTTGGGCACATTTAAAACAAGCTCCAGACTTTGTAGCTATTAAAATCTTCTTCCTGAAGGCGTCAGACAGCTCTTTAGATCTTACCATGCTGTATATCCTCCACAGGCAGTAGCACCTGATATGAACTGCTCCTTTTGGATTGTAACCTTTTTTGACGAGAATGCATGACTCTCCTAATTTACTCAGTATCAATAAGAAACTTTGTATTATTTTTTACAAAATATATTTCGTTTTCTACTGTTTTTTAAGGTAGAAAACAGTAGAAGAACAGTAGATTAAAAAAGCAATCAAAACATTTATATTTATCATCATGCATTCTAATATGTTAAAGAAATACACAGGCTATGAAAGAGTGTGCTATTTTTCACATGACCTTGCTTTATAAATCAATACTTATTGCAACTAAGCAAATGGGTGCAGGAGTATAACTTTCTTTAAAAATATAAATATATTTTTTGTTCTCCCTTGCAGCGCCCCATAGCGTTATCACCCTGGTAGAAAACCATGAAATGCACATCAAACCACCACCGCTGAAATCATCTCCTTTAAGATGCAGATATTTGCTTTTGCACTTTATCTGCATTTAGTGGAGACATCAATACAAAAGAGCTGGAAATAGATGTCTCATTCTGGCTCACACTGGCTCCTCTGCAGGAAAGACGGATATCTTCCCCTCTTATTGCTGGAGGATGGAGCTGCCTCTGAATAGGTCAGTGGGGAACAACAGTTTATGAAGGGGCGGAAGGGGATGCTGGAAGTGACTTTAATGTCATGCAGGAAGTCAGTGGTGAAAAAAGCAGAGAAATGGAGGAGCAGCAGTGGAGGAGGAGGAGGGTGCTGATGCTGACTTTGGCCCCCGGGAAGATGCATCAAAGGAGCATTTGTTGCAGAGACCAGCTGGGAGTATAATGGCAGAAAGAGAAACAGAGTTAGCGCCTGTTTGTGTTTTGAATGGCGAGACTGGAAGGGTTGCATCAGTAGTGACAGATGAACCTGCTTCCTGTGGAAAGAATACAGGGCATTCATAAGCATGCAGCTGTTTCTCTCTGTGTGTGAGTTCAAGTCTTTCAGAGGACACAGTTGTTGCAGGTTTCAGGCTCACATCGATGAACGGATCTCTTTATATTTTCGGACACCTGTGGAAACTGACAGTAAGGATGTTGGATTTTGTGTCTTTAGAAGATGCAGCGAGAAAACTGCAAAAAAAAAAAAAAAAAAAAAGCAGCATTTTTTTCCTTATTAAGAGTCAGATGTGAGTCTGCTTGTGGAATGAGTGGGAGTCATTTCTGACACTTTTAAAAATGCATCACCAAAAACCAAAGAGCACAGGTGACTGTTTACTTTGAAGAGAATCCGTAGTTCCAGGAAAAGCTCTCAGAAAACATGTGAGTTGGAGGCAAGTGTGTCATAAAATCTCTGGGCTCAAGTGTCTTCATGTGAAGGAGAAATAAACCCAGACAGCTCAGCTGACAGTTCCCATATAGACAGACTGAGGCCAAACTGCTGAACTGTTCGTCACGCCACTTCTGTTTGGTCAAAATGATGAATCTTCCTCGCTGCTGCTGCTTCTACTCTGTTTCTGTGTTGAGTGATCCAGACAGGTGTGAATACTGCATGCCTGCTGTGTCACCGAATGCTGACAGACAATGTCTAACAGGTGTGTGTGTGTCAGGCCTGCCCTTCTGTTGCTGCTGACTTCATCCTCCTCCTCAACAAGCACAGCATTTTGCTTCCACGCCGAGTTAAATTTGCTCTAATTAGAAGATTTGATGCCAAATCAGAAAAGCAATCAGGATGAGGCGACCCTGCTGAAGCTAGAAATGGATGAGCAACCTAAGTGTGACGTTTTAGAGGAACAAATGGAGGACAAACCGGATTTTCAGTAAGAGTTTCAGATTTTTGCTGTATTTTTAGTGGAAGAGTTGACTTTCCAATAAAAAGGTTTTGGTCTTACATCCACGCCGGGACTCTTTCGCCATGTAATTAGCTTTGTTATTGTCATTTATTTATAGTTTATTTTAAGAGTGAAATAACACGTCTTTACTGTCTGCTAATGTAGAAATTTGTCTAATATAACAAACTGAAGAAAATGTACACAAAAGTCGTTACGTTAAATATCAAAACACTTTTTGGTCCTGCCTTTCCTCTTCCAGAACAATTAATTGTCTGCAAGGAGGCAAAAGGTAATTTTATATGGATCATGGCCTGCAGACGGGGGGGACATTTGGGGTCAGTTTTCCTGGGCCCATTGGGGGCGCCTAGAATCAGCCTAACCAACCTTTTTTACGGCCGAGAACATGTTTTTCATTCCCAACTTGCCCCTCGTAGTCAGAGGCGATTCTAGAGTCTGTGGGGGCCCTAAGCAAAAAATCCTAGGGGGCCCTACCGACCAGTGTTCATCACCAACGAAACCAGTGTTCATCACCAACGCAAAATTTATTAAATAAAACCTTTTTTTATTCCAAATGTTCTAAACATGAACAACCATGTTATTTTGGAAAATATAAAAGTAAAGAATAAATTAATAAATTAAAGTAAATGTATACTAAAATAAAAAAAAACAGTAATCAGTATAAAAATAAAAAAAATAGTAAATTACTTTAAAAACCCAATATAAACTTTGTACAAAATATAAAGTATAGTAAGAGTAATTAAATTATTGGGGTCCTATACTGCTTTCAGAATTGCTGCTTACGGGCCTTGGCTTGTGCAAATGCAGACATAAGTCCTCCAGATCCAAAGACCTTCGCACACTATACTCTATGGAAATAAGCGCCAGTCCTGAAAGTCTCTCTTGAGAAATGGTTGACCTCAGGTTTTTATCAGCTTTAAAGAGGAGAAACTTCTCTCTCCAGAGGCAACAGTGCCCGGGAGAGTTAACAGCAGACGGAGGGCAATGCTGAGATTTCCATAAAGATACTTGTAAATGTAATCAAGCATCTCTCTTGGAGAGGCAGAAACTATCTGCTATCATAGCATTCACTTAACGCTATAGCTGCTGTCTCCCCGTTAGAAGACAAAGTAGCATCATTTCAATGACAGCAGTCATTTACTGTTAAGGTTATGCTTAAATCATTATCTGCTCCACTTACCACTGTCTTTCTTTCTTTTGCTTCTTCATCTTTTTTCTTCTTCTTCTTCTCGCTACCAGATGGATAGCTCCTCTTCATTTTCCTTCAGCTTAGTTACTTAATTGCTTTCCAATTTACTGAACGATATGCCTACAACATCACCCATTCACTAGGCTACATTCATTTTCATTAAGGGAAGTTATCCACCTGGGCTGGGCTGGGCTGGGCTGGATTTTGACTGGGCAAAGCCAATTTTAATCAACATTCCATCCAATTGGAACTTTTATATGCAGTTGTGCATCTCCTCAGTCACTATAGCGTTGTCACTTCATGCTCGCCTGTTGCTGTTTATCTACCGGGTGTACAGTAGCTGGCTCTCGGGGGCCCCCCAGCGGCTCGGGGCTCCAAGCAGTGGCTTGGTTTGCCTGTTGACAAGGTGCGCCTCTGCTTGTAGTAGAAGGGTAGCATCCCCCAATCCCATTTTGCCACGGAATAGTTTGTCAGCTGAATCTACTGTGTTCAGGTTTTAAATTTCTCTACACGAGTACAGAAAGCTCTGTACTCTAGGGTTCATGTCACTGCAGTATGACCATTAGATGTTGCTGAAAATTTTAGTTTTAATGCTCAAGTCCGATTTTTGGCATGGTCGTTCACATTTCCAAATATATAGACCTTTGTTATCTCCCGTGTGAGCTGCATTCATACAGCTTAACTGTCCTGCAGTAGAGGACTCAATGATGTCACAAGTGCGCTCTGTGTTTATTGAAGTAGAAGTGGAAGGTAGTGTTGGTGGAGCCAGCAGGAGCCAGAGCCTTAACAATGCAACCTTTTCAAATAGAGAAAAAAAAAGGACTGCTCTTCACAGCATCTTCTGCCTTTTTATTTTTTCTTCATGCTTCTGAGTTGCAAGATGAACAAATAGGGAGCTTTTTTTAGTATTAATGAATGTGATCTGGCTGTTTAGACACAGATCGCATTTGAAAAGATCAGATACGTATTGGATTCAGGACCACATAGCCAGGTGGCCGGTGTCACCTTTGAAAAAATCGTATTCGTGTTGTTCAGACTGTCATGAAAAGATCAGAAACAGGTCGCATCTGGCCAAAAAAAATAAAAAAAAGATATTTGGGTCACTTCCGGCTGCACTGTGAACGTAGCCTTAGATATAAAAACCCTACCTTGACTGTCAAGTGAAGAACATGCCTCAAGGTTTGGTATACCATGGAATAATTACCTTTAGCACTACTCGAGTAAGTATTTGTTTTGAAATATAGTGGATTTCTTGCTGCGTGATTGCAGCAATGTCATGTTTTTCTGCCACATGCAGATTAGTCGCAGATTAGTTGCTTAATCATCAGGGTCTGCTTGGTTAAGGTAGGTGCTTCCTGGAGAGATCAGCCTTACGTAGGCCGCTTATTTTCACCAATCAGGAAAGGGGCTCTCGCTTGGACAGTCGAACTCTTTAGGATTACTCAAAATTGCATGAATCAAGTGAAATACCACTCGGTCCACTCCAAGTGCAATGCCCTAACCACTAGGCCGCCACTCCCCAAAAAATATACATTTCTGATGTAAATAGAATTATGACATTTAGGGGTAAAAGAAGTAGAGTTCGATATATGAATGTCATGGGGCCCTTATCATGTTATGTCATGTCCCAGGTCATGTCCCAGGTCATGTCCCAGGTCCAGCTGTCAGCTGGCTTCAGTTGATCAGCTGGAGCTACTTTGATGATGTATAAACCATTCAGCAACTGGAAGGTATTAGCAACTGTAAATTCATATTTTCAGATGAACTGACCGCATCCTTTCCCAAAGTGACCCTTTGTATCATAGATCATTCTTATAATCAAACAGTAAAAAGCTTTGTATCTCCTTTTTTGCTCAAAATGAGCAAAGAAATGTATCATTTGCTGCACAAATAGAAATAAATCTGATGAAACATCACATCTTTGACAGGTTTTTAAATATCTTGTAATCTTCTACATAATTCCAGATCTGTTTTCTCCTCAGGGAAGAGATACGATCAGAAGAGGTGAGAACAGACTCAGAGAAAGAAGAGGCAAAGTGGCAACAAAATCACACCTTTTTCTACCAAAGTGTTATTTTAAACCAGCAGGCTGATCAATGACATGAAGCTGTCTGTCACAGACTGTATATGTCCTTGGAATCAGCAAGAGAGGCATGCAGATGCTGTATAAACACCTTTTTAACTTACTTTTATAATTTTGCCGTCCTGTTAATGTTTATTAGATAAAATTTATGCCAAAGAGACGTTTAACGAAGATACTCTACAGAGTATCTATGTTAAAAAATTTCTGGGTTTTTGGACAGAAACATCCTGACGTCCTCATTGTAGAGCTTCTCTCACTGTTTCAGCTGCTTTTTCTCCTGCCTTACCACTCACATGTCTGGTCCTATGCTAGTTATATCCTTGCTTAAATCCTTTCCTTATTTTCTATGATGGCTTAACTCTTTATAATCCGGGCCATAAAATCTTCAGACATTATTTTTTTTCAAATACTATCATTAAACTTCCCACAAATGTATCTTTATTGGTTAAACTATGGTCATAACAGTTTGTTTACTTTTTTAATGCTGTATGTGAAAATAGGTTATTTAAAGAAAAAAAAAAAAGAAGTTCTAGGTTTATAATTTTTCTGTCTTACAGGGTAAAAAAACACTAGCTGCCTTTAACATAATACATATTACTTGAACATGTACATATTATTGTACATTGAATAGATACTCTGACAAATTGTAGAAAAATCAAACACCTTAAATGACTTCTGGGTGGATATTTGATCACTTTTCTATGCAGTTTTAGAGTTAAGTCAATTCATATTAGCTGCTTTCTTTGGGTTTAATCATTTTTAAGCAAAAGCTCTTTTTCCAGGAATATCTCCTTGATCCGACTCATCCCGGCCATCTTGATGCAGTTGTGGATAAAAGTGGGATTGTGTGTCATTGTTTAAGGTTTCTTTTTGAGTTTGCATAGTTTTTTTTGTTTTTTTTAGTCTGTGTTATTCTAGTTGTCTTTCTTTGTATTTGAGTTTTTATGTAATTCTTGTTTGCCCTCTGTTACTCCTATTGTGTCAGCCTCCTTCTCCTAGCTCCCTTCTAGATTCTTCTGTTCACACGTGCTCCTCATCTGCTAATTAGTCCTCCCATTGTTTCTGTCTCGTATATATATATATATATATATATATATATATATATATATATATATATATATATATATATATATATATATATAATATATATATATATATATATATATATATATATATATATATATATTAGTGCTGTCAAAATTATCGCGTTATTATCGCGTTAACGCGAGGCCATTTTAACGGCGATAATTTTTTTAACGTGAGATTAACGCTATGTGGTTTTATGGTACAATTTTCCAAGTACATCCCGCTGCAGCCTGCGGGAAGGCGGGGCTATTTTCCCCCAGTCTATGCATTTCTCATAGGCTTCGAGAGCGGAGCGCCTCAAGGAAGAAAGAAGCTCATACACTGGGTGACGCTAGTGCCTTTTCTTTAAGCCCCACCACCAACAAACAAGTTGAGTGTCTGGTAAGTAGTAGCAACCTGAAATACGCTGAGAAAACAGATTACTGAGGTAAAATGGAATCTGCTACGGCACTCTTGCTGTCTGTGTACGCCACAGGTCAGTATCGTGTGTGTGTGTGGGTGTGTGTGTGTTCTCATTTTTGTTAAGAGGCTGAAAAGTAACTTTCTAGAGCATAGACTACCTCCATCTAGTGATGTCGGTCTATTGATTTTGATGTATTGATTGAAAATTGTTCATTATTATCTTGGTTAATTAACATCTAATGTTAACTGTACTACATTTTATAGCAGTAGGGTAAAATGCTTGTCTTTGTTCAAAAGACTGTATTAACTGTAAAGACTGTCTTTTACATCAGCCTGTTTTCAGGGCCTTTTTTTTGGCTACATATTTGTTATTTTTTGCTACATGCCTCCCCATCTTCTTGCCATATGTTTCTATGGCATAAATCAGTGTCTGTGACCTGTTTTCATTTAAAAAAAAGAACATTGGCACAAACCTAGCCTGTATGTATTTTTTGTATGACATCGAGAGTATTTAAATGATTTTCAATCAGAAAAAAAATTTGCGATTAAAATGCGATTAATCGCGAGTTAACTCAGGCATTGATGCGATTAATCGCGATTAAAAAAATGTAATCGATTGACAGCACTAATATATATATATATATATATATATATATATATATATATATATATATATATACACACACCTCCTCTTCAGTTACTCTTTGCTGGTTACTTGTTATTTCTTAGTTCCTCATGCAAGTTTTCATTGATGTCTTATGGATTTTTTTTATTTCAGTATTTTGTTTGTGGACTTGTGCTTCTGCTGTAGTGTTGAAAGAAAACTCTAAATCAAGTCACAGACTATGCATCACACTGATAACAAGAGACCAAAAAGTACTCAACTTAACAAAAACAAAAAAAAAGAACAAAAAGACCATATATATTTGTTTTGCAATGCTCTGAACTTCCATATCAATACATTTTGGACCATGTTTGTTCTACCACACTGCTGCCCTTAATGAAATGGAAATGTTAATTTCTCTGCTAAGCTGCTGCTCATTTACTGTCTTTCGTTTTTTTTATGCACTGTGTACATAAGTCCACTTCCACCCAACTGAAAAGGTCCAGTTTGCAGGATGACCTCCTGCCGAGAGGCAAAGACAAAAAGGTTAAACTCAGGGAGACAAGAACTCAGTCTTACTCAGAGAAAACTCAGCTTGACTAGAGTACCAAAAACTGGCAAACACTCTGGCCTCGAGGTAGTGGCAATCAGCAGCTTAAGAACACTCCGTTAACGAGGTAACCGTCAGCAGGTGTGTGAGGTGGCGAACCGGAACCAGGCGCCTCCCGTTGGTGGAAGGGAGACAAACAAAAACAAAACACACAGACAGGAGCCCTGACAATATATGGTATTTGATGAACTAAAGTACGAGGCAAATCAGAATCAAAATCATTAAAAGGTTCCTTTCACATTTAGCTTATTAAGGGACAATAATAATGTCCCTAAGGTTTTGGTCCAACTGTTTCCTAATTCTTGGTTTAAAGAATGTTGGTTCTTCGTAGGAACATTGACAGGATATGAGTCAGATTTATTTAGACATTTCTGCTGTATTTAGCTGAGTTAAAAAATACACATATTTCCACCTGGCAGTTTTAAAGTCAGATGACAGTTTTTTTTGTTTGGTTTATTTCTTAACAAGTAAATGAAAATGAAAGCGTAAAGGGTGGTTCATAAAAGACGAATGCTTCAGGTTGTATCAAATATTCGCATTCATTTGAAAAAGATCTTTATTTATTAGTTGAAATCTGGACCCAAAATGAATTTAAAAACAGTCCTGTGGCCTATGCTTCTTGATATGTGGTTGAGGGTCCCATTAAATCACTGCAGGGCCTCAGGGGCCGTTCTTTGGACACTCCTAAGCTGCATGATTGAGACTTCAAAGCCAACTGAACATCTAAACCACTTTTTGGGCATCCTAAACTCTCTGTCCCCACATTTAACTTACTCTGAGATAAAGGGTTTATACAAGGACCTGTTGTTAGTCTATGATTTGGGTTCCTCTTGTCTCAGAGCTTCATCTCTCATAGCACCGTGCTGAAAATGCTGCGGTATTTGCTGTGTGATCACTGCCACCTCTGTACACTCTCTGCTCAGACTTCCTTCCTCTCTGTGTTCCCACCAATTTCAGTTCCTCTTCTACTCTTACATCATGTTCTTATTTCTAACTTTCCGTTAAAAATTGAAATAAGAAAAAAAAATTTGAAATAAACACGTCCGTCTGCTTACAGTGAATAATGCCCATTTTCACGCAGGGTACGATCTTCAGTTTGGATCCGTTTGCAATCCAGTCGCTGATGAGATCATTTGGACATTTGATTTCCTGAAATGTTAGATTTCTTGCATTCTTACAATATATATTCCGAACACCTGTGACTCAGTGCAGCTAAATAACAGCAATGAAAATTTAAATGTCATCATTTTCTTAATTCACTGACAAATGTGTCATTTGAATTTTAATCTTTTCATTTGCATGAGAGATGCTTCACATGAATAAACATAAATCAAACTTGTGCAACCACCTTCCACAAAAAAACAGATTATGATTATGAATTCAGCTAATTAGCCCCAGTTTATAGGTCTGTAATAGTCTAATTATGCCTGTATAGTGTTCATGTCGGCAGCTGCAGCTCTATATCCTCTTAGATCCTGCTTTTCATTGCTACGTTCTCTTATTCGAAAACAGACTCCAAAGCTATTTTTCTCATGCAGGATCAAACTGTCGGCTGATGGAGCATCGCGTGCACAGACCAGGTTTTCAGTTGTCTGGTAACATGCAGCCAACTTTGCGCTGCTTTGCGTCTCTCTCACCTATTATATTTTTCTGCTTCTTTGCTATTTGTTCAGCTTTGCAGTACTGTACATCCCTGCTGCTTTCCTCCATTGTTGCTGCTGCCTCCATGGGGCGGCTTTCATGTTGGAGTTCAGTCAAGCGAGGGTAAACATCAGGAAGGGCGGTCACCATAAAAATGTGCACAGGGCTAAAAAACGTTGCTGGCTTTTAACGGATGCCGGAGCCTCTTTGATGGGAGGAGACCTTTCTCTGACTTTGGCTCTCTGGTGTTTTGAACTTTGGACCCAGCAGCCGTGTAAACACTGCTTCCTCACACACGCTCCAGCATAAACACAAACAGAAACACAAATGGGGCTAAGGAGCAGCCTCCCTTCCTCTTCTCCTCTGTGATTCAGGAAGAATCTGTGTCTGGATGCAAAAATAACTCCAAATCCGACTGAGCTCGCGTGTGCATATGGATTGTATAAGTGTGTGTAGGTGTGGATGTGGGTTTACGTCAGGGTTCACAGTGAAGCCCCACAATGGTGATAATGTGTCTCTGTGTGTGTGTTGTGTGTTCACCCTGGGAAATGAAAATGCTGACCCAATTTAATACACCTGTGTCTCGCTGCACTCTGGCCTAGCACTCAATCTAACACACACACCTTAACCCAGCTGCAGTGGAGCAGAGCTCTCAGAAACCACATTATCCTGCTGCTCTGACTCAGCTAAACTATGGTGACTCAAACACACAATCGTTTATTCCCTACCTGGAAAAACACAGTAAAACTTCAACCTGACTCCTGCAGAGGTTTCTTTACTTCTCCTCTGCATAATTACAGGTGTGAGCTGATGCAGAGTCAAGCTGCATGCCTCTGAATCAGATTTTCACTCCTGATTATTTTGTAAAAGAAGCTGTGAGAATGTAATCATCTGAAGGCTGAAGCCGTGATGATCTTTAGTAATTGTGTTAAAGCTTTAATAAAGCAGGTAGATGAAGGAGAGAAATTTTGTGGGATTGTTTGTTTCAGATATTTTTGTGATGTTTGTTTGTGTGTAAATGCTCATGGATCCATGCTGAGTATTTTCCGGCTCAGGTTGAGCTCCCAGCAAGCCGCTGAGATCCCGGTGAGAGGATCACTGCTGATTGGCCTTCCTCTGAGGTGTAATGAACCTCCTGCAATAGTCTCTCCTTTCACTCTGCAGAGCTTCATAAATGTATACCCCCCTTTGGCTTTTTATACTTCTTATCACTGCACAACCAAGCAATTGAATTGAATTCAGTTCAGAAATACTTTATTAATCCCAAAGTAAAATTACATGTTGGAGTAACTCATACTTTTAAAAAACAAAACAATCTTTTGTAGAGGTCTTTCTTGCACCGGATCTGCAGAAGCCTCTGAATGAAGACGCATGGTTGTTGTTTGACAGTCTGATGAAAAGGATGCTGAATTTTTTCCATAATTTGTTCCACTTTATGAAGAATCCTTCTATGTGAAATCATCTCCAAATGTTCTAGAAGTGTTCCTAGTGTCATGATTCTATTCAAAGATCTGACCCACATGCAGAAAACCAATCAGAGAGACCAGGGGAAGGTTTAACAGGTTTATTGAGAACTGGTAGGATGGGTCCAGTGCTGCTCTGAACACCGGCGAACCGGGACTGAAAAAAGAAGGGGAAGTTCATGTGGTTAATTCAGTCTCAGTGGGAAATTTAAGCTTCGATTTGCAAGAGGGAGTAAAGGCAACAGGACTCCCGTTTCCAGAAAAGGTGTATTTCTCTGAATCCAGTCGGTGTAGGTTGTTCCAGAAATTGGTTTGCTTGTTGGAGGGTGGACAGGGATTACCCAGGTTAAGTTGTTTCCTTGAGGAACAGAGGGGCTGACTGCCACTTAGATTTCCTTCGGTACTTAAACAGATCTTGTGAAGATGAATCCCCTGCTCAGTGTGAAGCTCAAACAATCCTTCCAGGGGGAGAAGGTCCAAAACTTCCAGTTTGCAGGATGACTTCCTGCCGAGAGGCAAAGAGAAAAAACGACAGGATTCAGACTCAGAAGACTCAGGTTGACAAAAACTTAGTTTGACTCAGCAAACTCAGCTCTGGTGTCGAGGTAGTGGCAGTCAGCAGCTTAAGAGTCCTCAGCTAATGAGGCAACCATTCGCAGGTGTGTGAGAGGACCAACGAGAACCAGGCGCCACCTGGTGTTGCAGGAAAAACAAACAAAAACACAACCCACACAGACTGGATTCCTAACACCTAGAACACCTGATACTGTTACCCCGGTAGAAGATGGCAGAAGAGATCACACTCTCCAAAAGAGATTTATAGAAGATATGTAGCATCTTGTTGCAAACACTGAAGGCGTTAAGCTTCCTTAGCAAGCACAATCTGCTCTGTCCCTTCCAGATATGGGCAATGTGGAGTCAACAAGTCATCTCCATATCATGTATTTAATCTACCCAGCCAATTAACCAGGTGAGTCCAATCTGCACAGGTTAATTCACGGTGAAGATTGGACTCACCTGCTCAGTGGCTGGGTAGAACAAATACATGACATGGAGATGACTTGTTGACTCAACATTGCCCATGTCTGGTCCCTTCTTGTAGACGGCTTCACAGTTGTATCGAGTCCAATTTGTTCTCCAGTTGAACACCTAGGTATTTATAAATCTCCACTACCTTAATGTCTTCTAAAATTTAGAATCACCTCCCTTGTTTTCTTGACATTCAGGATCAGGTGATTGTTTCCACATCATGCCACAAAGCTGTTCACCAGACTTAGACAACTTTTATTGTCATTTTGTACACACAGAGTGTATACAAAAGTAGATTTTGTTTTTGTAGAGCTTTCATGACATTTCGATTCCTTAAAGTGCAGCAGTGATTGAATGTAAACAGTTTGGGAGAAAAAACATGGAGCAAAAAAAACACATTGATATCGAAGTTTAGAGCATTAAATATTAATGGTGCAATTATATAGTGTTTTGGTTTGGTGTTATGGTGTGATAGCAGAGTTTGTGAAATGTTTTAGAGTTTTCTCAACAGTTTTTTTGTCTGATGGCATCTGGGAATGGGAATCTGCTGGACCTGCATCAATTGCTGCGAAGCCTCTTCCCACAGGGCAGCTGGGAGAACAGTCCATGGTGGGGGTGTGAGGGGTTATTGATGATGTTGCAGGCTGGGGACATAAAGCGCTGGGATGAAATGTTCATGGAGGGAAGAGGAGCCCTGATGATCCTCTCTGCTGTTCTCACCCCTGTTCTCACATTCTTCCACTCTGAGATGCTACATCCTCCACATCACACAGTGAGACAGCTGGTCAGAACGCTCTGTAAACCAGCTCTCTGGATTTAACTTCTTGTACATCTTTGGTGCACCCAATGACTGCAAAGTCATCTGAGTTTTTCTCTAGATGACAGGTGGAACTGGAAGTCAGAGGTTTAAAGAGTGAAAATGAATGGAGTGAGTACTGTCGCCTGTGCTGATCCTGTCCTCCTGACTACCTAAGTAGACAGTTGACTCTTCAGTCTAATAAACTGTGGTCTTGTCAGATAGTATTGGATCCAGGCTTGTTGATGCCTCCACCTGAGTCTTCTGAGGTTTCTAACAAAGTAAGTCAGGCTGAACTGTATTAAATACACTGGAGAAATCAGAGAACATAATCCTCACATTGCTCTCTGCCTGGTCTGAAGGACAGTGGATTTGTTGAAGCAGGTGCATGATGGCATCTTCAACTGCACAGTAATAACTAAACAAACATATGTATAATTTATGTCCTTATTGGATTATTCTATCATAATCTAACAAAAACATTCATTTTCAAGTGTTGCCACAGTTTGTAAATTAGAAGTCTGAACTTTGGGTAATGCAACCTTACAATTACTTGGACGTTTGAATCTTGAGCACCATATGGTTTGCAAATCTTTATGTGTTTTTAATCTGTGGCCTTCCTCTTGTTTCTCCTGCATTAAGGTCAAAGTTGTGGAGTGCACAACTATATATATAACTATATATATATATATGACTGTATATTTAATCTCTTCAGTGCCTTCAGTGTTAGAGTGGGGCTCTGCCCAGTTTAGCTGGACTTTCATGTCTCAGTAGGATTGCATTGATGCCAGACTTTTTCCCACTTTCAGGTGATGGATTGAACAGAGCTCTGTTAGACGTTCTGAACTGCAGATATTGTTTATATTATAACCCTGCTTTACGCTTCCCAACAACATTCCTTTGGCCTGTCAGCTGTGTTCCTCTGTCTTTATGATGCTGCTTCTTCCCCAACGTTGTCCTCTGAGGCAACAGGGAACAGCTAACTGACTTTCAGCTGAAATTGTTTTACACTGGATTTTGTCAATGGAGCTGTAGGCATATGCACACTGGATTTCACACTGAGACCCCTAAAAAGAATCAAAAGCAGCTTACACCCTGCAGAAGTCAGACATTATGCAGATTCTTCTTGGCCATTTACATCAACTATGGCAATAAGACGCTGAAGTTACAAAGGGAGGTCACATTATGGCTGTTTTATTGTTGTTTTGCACCTGTTTGCTTCTTTTCTGTGTTTTCATTTAGATGAATTTACAGCTCTGTCCCTAGATTTAAATTTCCTTCATGCTTGTGTATTTAATGCAGGCCTGCAGGAGCTGCAGACATTAGTAAGGCCTTTTTTTTCTTACTCTGGGATTAATTTGTCTCGTTAGTTCTGGATCAGCACTAAATTTCAACACTGTGGCCCAGCAGGTGTTCATGAACGCAGGCGGTTAACTCACAAAATAAAGACGAGAGTTTCCCCTATGTACTTACCGTTTCTTAGTCTGCATGGTGTCTTAACAACATTTGTGAGTCATAATAACGTAAGAATATTGAAGTAAATCAGAGATGAGCCGTACTATTAGAACACTTGGTTTTATTTCCATCTCTTCTTTAATTACACCTGGTTCTTGAATACTTAGATGTTTAGTTTTTTTCCCTAGTTAATCCAAAAATCAAAAAGAAGAAAACAAAAACATCCCACAGAGATCTTTTTCTATGTTGATAAAATAAACTGACAAAAATTTAGGAAAACAGAAATCTTCAGCTACAGCTTCAACCTCTGTAACATCATTGGGTGGTCTTGCATCCTCTGTGTATAAATATTGCATCATACGTATATGAAGGAACCTG